GCGGCCATCTTACCTAGGGGGTCACGTGGGGTCTCTTCTCGGAGGGTACCTCTGCGTCTGCCCCGGGGAGCGGTGGCGTAGCGGTTAGCGCGCTGTGCTACAAACCCGGCGGCCCGAGTTCGATTCCCGCTCATGACCAACACCCAGTGACGATTATCTGAACCAGTCCTGGGCCTCCCCAAGGTCGACTCAGCCTCAAATGAATACCCGGTGCAGATCTGAGAGAGCTAAGCTGGTTTGGAACCTGGTAAGTACCTGGATAATGCTGTAGGCATGGGAATGCGGGGGGGAGACAAAGGCGGCCGGGCGTGGTGCTGGCCACCTACCACCTCGTGTCCCGTGCCGGGCTTTATATGTGCTACTCGCTATCAGCACTTGTCTCAACAATGTTCAGGCGAAAGGGGGGGGTCCTTGTCTTTTTTGTCCGTCTCACCAGCACCACTGTGGTGCCACAGCGACGGGGCCGCTCTGCCGAGCCAGGGAGCCGCCCGGCTTCCCCCACCGCACTGCCCCCCATCACCCGCCCCACATAAGCACACACCCGCACGCATTCCCCCCCCCCCCCCCCATAGAGCTGGAAGGGAAGGTTACCTGATCGACCGGTTTTTATCCGAGAGACCCTTATCGGGATTAATTCTCACGGTTTCCGGCGATCAGGGAATTGGATGACCTCCCCCGTGCTACGTGGTACCGCGGCGCTGCTGCCGGCCTTAATATGGTGTGGTCGCGGCGTGGGGCATTCGGCCACCGCGGTTGAGGCGCATTTCCCCCCACACACACCCCCACGAGTCGACGGGGCAAGCAGGGGAGGCACGAGACAGCATGAATAGCGGGGTCACAGGGGCTGTTGCGCATAGTCATGGGGGGTTGGGATAATTGCGCTTGAGCGCGCAGGCCCCATTGTTAGGAAGGGTAAGGGAGTAATTAGGATGTACGCCGCCAACGTCGCTCACTGATTAGCATATCAACAGCGCCTGGGGACTGCCGTGCGCGGGCTTGGGGTGCACGAGCCCATTGTTCAGCGCAGCATCCCCTTTGGAGGTAGGGAGGATAAATAGAGGAGCGCAGAGGGGAAATCGCTCTCTTACTCCAGCGCCAGGCGACCAGACGCAGCTCCAGCCAGCGACCCGGACGTCCGTGCGACGCACCGAGGCGCGCGGTGAGCACCGGGATCAGCGGACCGCCGTGGACACTTAACAGTGAGTAAGAAGGGGAATTAGAATCATAGCAGATAAATCGGGAATAGGTATAGAGGTATCAGCGTAGGCCAGCCTCGTCGACTCACTGATTTAACATCTAGTTCCAGGTAGCGGATAATAAATCATTAATAGCGAAGCGTGGTCTCGCGTGATCTTGTCGTGCAGTGTGAGCGTGTGGGAACGCGTGTGGTACTGTGTGCGTAAGCTCGCGGCGTGCGTAATCGGCGTCCCCCAGGTGCGCGCTCATAACGTAAGCGGCCAGCAGGCGGCGCGCGCTGCGCAGAGCGGCGCAAAAGTGGGTATCGCGTGTGGAGCTGTATGCGTGTGTGCGCGCACGTTCACTACGTGTATAATACGGATGCGCATTGGTAACGTGCCGCACAGGGCTATACTGCGAGCACGACGTTTGATTGATGATGATGTGCGCACGTATGCTCGCAGCGTGGGAGCGCGGCGCGAGGCTGTAAATAGTAGGGGTGTCGCGTTCGAATGCCGGCGAAACCGTAGCGGGTAATAGGGAGGTGGGGTAACGTAAACGAATAGGGGATGCAGGCGGGAGGGACCCCGGGGGCCAACGGCCCCCACACCACCACGTGGCTTCACGCCTCCCGTTTGTCACTCAGATGACACGTGTGTATGTATCGTATTCTGAACTTCTTTCGCACCGTACGTAGCTAGCCATGCTCATCGGAGGTGCGGGGTAAGGACAGAAAACTACATGTAAAAAGCAGTTCTAAAGAAATTCGTTTTCCATAACACATTTTTAAAGTGTATAGCTCCAGTGGCTTCCTAATATCGGAAGCAAGAGCGTTCCAGACGGCCCCAGAAGCGCGTCTGAAAAACGTGGAATGCAGTGACCATCTTTGTTCGATGGTTAGCCACAAGGCACTGCTGCGAGGATGACCGGAGTTTGCGTGACGATGGCTTATGCTCTTTGCTCTTCAGGTCAGACACACGAAGACGGCACCACTGAGACGCTGGGTTCGAATCGGGGTTTCGGCCGCCCATAATTGAACCGCGTTCTCAAGTGTGGCGAATGGGTAGTCTCAACCACGTATCATTCAAGGAACCGCTCTTCCACCGTCACCATGATCACATCTGGCTTCAGCTTTGCTGCGTTCATACTGCAGGTGTTACATCTAATTGCTCCTGAACTCAAAACTTGTTTTTCTGGATGTGAACACTTGTCTGTCATAAGTGCTGCCCGAAATCTAATAACGCAGAGTGTGTGTGCGTATTGCCCTGGAATGTGCCCAATCCTGTCAAATCTCAGAAGCTAAGCAGGTCTGAGCCTGGATAGTACTCGGATTGGGGGGGTGCGGTGACTGCCAGCGTGTGCAAATTACAGGAGTCCTTCGCTCATCGTGGATTCCACCCCAGCGCTGACACCGAGTTCCGATTATAACGCCACTCATTTTATCTTCGCGGGTGAAAGACGTCTACGTGCGTTTTGGTTGTTATGGTGAAAATAAAAAAAAACACTGCATTGAAAGTTACTGTACGTTCAATCTAGATTTGAAGTTTTCGTGACTGCAGGGATCCATACTCTTTGTTTTTTTCGGTAAAGTCACGTAGGTAGAAAATAAAATAAATTAAATCACGACGTTTCGGGCGCAACACAAGCGCCCGTTACTGTACGTTAATAAACGAGCTTTCCACTCAAGTCGCGTGTTGTTTCGTGAATGTTAACTGCTCAAGCGCTTTGAAGTTTATCCATCAGGGAGCAGTGGCTGATTCGAGTTACGGGCCGATGTTTCAGGTTGAACGAATCACAACACTTTACCACTCAGTCTACGTGATGCCCTTTGGTGGCCACGCGTGTAGCACCAAAATGTTTACAACCCATGGCTACGTGATGTCCTCCGGTGACCACGCGTGTAGTACCACAACGTTTACAACCCATGACTACGTGATGCCCTCTGCTGACCACGCGCGTAGCACCACAATGTTTACAATCCATGGGTACGTGATGCCCTCTGGTGACCACGCGTGTAGCACCACAATGTTTACAATCCATGGGTACGTGATGACCTCTGCTGACCACGCGTGTAGCACTGCAATGTTTACAATCCATGACTGCGTGATGCCCTCTGGTGACCACGCGTGTAGCACCACAATGTTTACAATCCATGACTGCGTGATGCCCTCTGGTGACCACGCGTGTAGCACTGCAATGTTTACAATCCATGGGTACGTGATGACCTCTGCTGACCACGCGTGTAGCACCACAATGTTTACAATCCATGACTGCGTGATGACCTCTGCTGACCACGCGTGTAGCACCACAATGTTTACAATCCATGACTGCGTGATGCCCTCTGGTGACCACGCGTGTAGCACCACAATGTTTACAATCCATGACTGCGTGATGACCTCTGCTGACCACGCGTGTAGCACTGCAATGTTTACAATCCATGGGTACGTGATGACCTCTGCTGACCACGCGTGTAGCACCACAATGTTTACAATACATAGCTGCGTGCTCTTGGTGGCCACGCGTGTACCACAATGTTTACAACCCATGGCTACGTGATACCTTCTGGTGACCACGCGTGTACTACCACAATGTTTACAATCCATGGCTACGTGATGCCTTCTGGTGGCCACCTGTAGTAACGCAGCTTTTACAATGCGATACCAACACCCGCCATTCACCACCAAGTGACGTCACCACGGCGCCTGTGCCAGGCCAGGTGCACTTTGAAGGCTCGCTGCTGACAGCAAATATCTCGGGACAGACCCAGCAGGTGCCATGGGTTGGCTGACTGAGATGACCGGCAGAGACGCACCAGCCGTATCCCCCCCCCCCATACTGTGCCAACTTTACAATACACAACTCCACACTCGCACGACGCCGTTGGACGCTTAGTAGGAGTGACGTCACCACCGGCAATTCACCCCTTCTTGCTCTTACCTATGTAGCCTCAACTCTCACCCAAACCCTTTAACGTAAACCATTGAACGCTGACGCGTATCCCTGACCCTGACCCCGTACACACCCAGGGGGGCGGTCAAGCGTGGAGAGGTGGCGATGGGGGGCGTCCATAAATGACGTCACGCGATTTTGGACGATTTTTGACCCCCCCCCCCATCTTCACACGGCGTCACAAAAAGTCAGACCCCTCCCTTAAATATGACGTCACAAAGCTCTGCCCCCCCCCCCCCCAAAATAAAACTTGCTTCAAAACGCTGTAAACTATTGTCATTGTAGTGCGTATTTAATGTGTCGCTGCACTCTGATGTAGTAGGAGAAAACATTTATTAAAAAGTCTATTTAATTAAGTAGAACGTGTTGTCTATATTTCTTTAAAGTTGCGCATTTTGATGTGACGTCATATTTCTCAAACCCCCCTCCTCTCGTTACACATCGTCACAAATGTCTGAGCCCCCCCCCAGGTGCGTGACGTCATTTATGGACGGCCCCTGGTTATAAGACCCAGGACACTTTCCGTATGCACGTTTAAATAATATAAAACCGCCCAGAGAAGCCTCACTAATTACAGGACATAATGCTCAGACCACCACATTCGTTTTGTAGGGGATGTCTCAGGCCCAGCAGGTGCCCGTCATAGCATACGGCCCATTGTCCGAAACGTCGCCTACGTGTGGGGCTTCTGTTATTTGTTTGTGCCTGTGCACCAATGCCAGATCGTGTGAATTAATCTTGGACATCCGGTGCAAGTTGCGTCGTTGTAAGCCCCCCCCCCCCCCCCCCTTGATTGAGCAAATAGAATAGCCCGCGTCGATCGACTCGCTCGTCTCGCCGGACCGTACCAACTCGGGCCGTGCGGGCGGAGAGGGGGTGACGGGGAGTCTTCTTCTCTCATCGGGCGTCTCTCAGCCACGGTTCCTCGACTGCATTTGTCTTTTCCACAAATCGCGAGGTAAGTGTCACCCTTGGGTTGAGAGGGGCTCGTAAATTTCTGATCGAGGGCGCTCTGCCCCTTAACCTTCGTAGGCTACGTAACGGCGAAATGCTGCTGCTGCTGCTGCTGCTTAAGCTGCTTAAGCTGCTGCTGCTGCTACTGCTGCTGCTGCTACTGCTGCTACTGCTGCTGCTGCCCCCATGCATATCGCGTTCATCTTCCCCCGGCATCGCGTCTTCAACGTGCATTTTAACGTGCAATGTACGTTTATAATGACGCGCGGTCTACACTGTCGTTGTCCGTGTTCCATACACACGCACGTAGATGTAAATATAAAACCCTTGCTGCAAACAGTCGCGCGAATCACAAAGTGCCAAATGATGGGCGAGAGGGCGTGGGGAGGAGAAGCAGACGGAGCCGCGACCTCCGTGCCGGCCTCCCCGGGGCGACCGCGAGATCCGTGGCCCCAGAATTCGTGCCCCCCCCCCCCCGGGGCAGTCGCTCTCCGTGGTGCTGGGTGGGCCTCGGGCTGCGTGGCCCATCCGGTGACGGTCGCTCTCCGTGGTGCTGGGTGGGCCCCGGAGCTCCGTGGCCCCCCTCGGGGCGGTCGCTCTCCGTGGTGCTGGGTGGGCCTCGAGCTCGTGCCCCCCCCCCCCCCCGTGGCGGTCGCTCTCCGTGGTGCTGGGTGGGCCTCTAAATTCCGTGGCCCACCCCATGGTGGTCGCTCTCCGTGGTGCTGGGCGACCGTGGCGACGGCGGCCGGAGGTTTTAGCAGCGGCGCCGAGTCGGGTTGGGTGAGGCCCCTCGTTCACCGAGTGATGGCACACACACACACACCAACAAAACCCACCGGGTTAACAACACCTCCTCCTGCTGCTGCTGTTACTTGCTGCTTCATAGCGACAGCCGTTTATCTGCCGTGTGTTGATGATGGGTGGGGGCGTGGGGAGCGGTAGTGTAGCGCTCAGCTGCGCTGCGCTGCGCAACCCCAGGCGGCCCCGGGTTCGATTCGCGCTCGCGGCCAACAACACCGGTGGCGATTATTTGAACCGGTCCTGGCCCCCCCCCTCCCTAGGTCGACTCGGCCTCAAATGAGTATCTGGTGCGGTGTTGTAAACATCGCCACTGCGGAGACAAAGGCGGCCGGGCGTGGTGTTGGCCACCCACCCCCTCGCGTGCTGTGCCGGCCTACATAGGTGCTTGCTAACAGCACTTGCCCCAACAGTCTGTTACAGGCTATACGGGGGATCTTTGTTTTTGTGTGTGATGTGTGGCGCGTGATGGATGGGTGTGTGTGTGTGATGTACGGTGTGTGATGGATAGGTGGGTGTGTGATGTATGGTGTGTGATGGTGGGTGGGTGTGTGATGTACGGTGTGTGATGATGAGTGGTATGTGATGTGTGGCGTGTGATGGGTAGGGTGGGGTGTGTGATGTATAGTGTGTGATGATGAATAGGGTGTGATGATGGGTGGGGGTGTGATCTGTGGCGTGTGATGGGTAGGTGGGTGTGTGATGTATAGTGTGTCATGATGAATGGGTGTGATGATGGGTGGTGTGTGATGTATATGGTGTGTGATGATGGGTGTGTGTGATGTATGGTGTGTGATGGATAGGTGGGTGTGTGATGTATAGTGTGTGATGATGAATGGGGTGTGATGATGGGTGGGTGTGTGATGATGGGTGAGGTGTATTTATGTATGTTGAACTTATTTCGCACCGTACGTAGGCAAGCGTGCTAATCGTAGGTGTGTGTCGATTGGTGGTATGTAATGATGGGTGGTGTAGGGGGCACAGGCGGTGCATCGGCCAGTCATCTCAGTCAGTCGACCCATGGCACATGGGTCTGTCCCGTGACCTCCTGCCAGCGGGCGTTCGACACTTCACGTGGCCTCAACGTGCACATAGCCTGGACAAGCGCCGTGGTGACGTGAACGCCACTTCGTAGTCAATAGCGGTTGTTGTGTGATGATGGGTGGGGGGTGATGATGGGTGTGGTGATGGGTGGGGTGTGGGTGATGGGTGGTGTGTAGTGATGGGTGGGGTGTGATGATGGGTGGTGTGTAGTGATGGGTGGGGTGTGATGATGAGTGGTACGTGACGAAGGGTGGTGGTTCATGATGTGCGATGTAATGCTATCTGTGATATGATGTCTGATCCTGTCAGCTGGTGCACACATCGCCTGCTGCGGAATGCTCTCTTCTGATGTCCGACTTCAGCTATTCTTGCCCTCGACTCAACAACATCAACTCTGTGATCAATGCTGTTGTATATTCAGCTGACATAATCGATTACCTGCTGCCACAATCGCGACGATACCTGCTGTGCCTTGCTGTCACGTTCTGTCCGCTCTTGACCATCGGGGTGCTGCACCCAGGCCACTGCCGTTGCAGCTGTTCCGCGAAGATGGACGACCAGACCCAGGATGGTGTCGCCGTGCCAGGTTCGTCGAACTCACCGACGGCAAAAGACGCACAGAACCCAACCACGCAGCATCCAGCACTCCCTTTGGGCGAGGGGTGACGGTTGTCTTCAAGCAAACTCACACTTTCCGCGGGCGGTGGAGCGGTGGCGCGGTGGTTAGCACATTCCGCTAGAGGGCTGCTCGTGGGCTAGGGTCGGGGTCCCTCTGTCGCAGTCGCGTCTGAGACGGTGGCCAAGGTGGTGCCTTAGAATTCCGGGTGCTGGGCTAGACACCACCGAGGTCCTGGGTTCGAATACCTCAGGGTCACGGCTGCAATGAAGCTGGGTTGTCGAGTGACGACATCGCACATGGTGATGTCACCCCCCCCCCCCCCCCGCATGCCAACGATCAATACTTTCAGTGCAGATTTTTTTTTGTGTCCCTTATCACCAAATTTTGTAAAACTGATCAAACTTGACCGGATGTCTCCACCGCTGCGAATCTTCAACGGCGACGCAACTTCACGTCGCCGTGCGCCGTCGCTCCGAGAGTTACGACGGACGGAGCGAACGCATGTACGCTTCGCGTGCGGGTGGGAATTCGTTACGCGCGGTGTCTCCCCGGGTAGACGCGACGGCGGCAGCGGCGGTGGTGGTGGAGGAGGAGAAGGAGCAGGAGGGGGTGGTGGACGAGGAGCAGGAGGAGGTGCCGTCCGAGGAGCTGCTGCGTCTACGTCGGGAGCTCGCCAGCGCTCGCGAGGTCGCTCGCAGCAGCGAGATGAAATGTCGTCAGCTGCAGGGTGACGGTCACCACCGCGGCACGGGGAGACGCGGGGACACCAAGGGGACGCAACGGGTTCATGGAGACACGGGGGGTCACGGTGGGGACGTCGGAGGGTTATGGACACAAGAGAGAGAGATAGAGACACGCAGGGACACGGGGGGGGGCGCATGGAGGGACATGGAAGATGTCATAGAATATGGGGACGCGGGGAGAAAGAGGGGACACGGAAGGGCACGGGGGGCATAGGACGATGTGGGATGCTGAGAGACGTGGATATTGGGGTGGGAATACATGGGAGATACAAGGACATGGGGGGCACAGGGAGACACGGGGTGGGGGGAGGCAGGTAAGAGCACAACAATTACAGGACAACGATGGATGTTGCTGTACGACTACCATCTACTGCCCAACACCTAACCCCGCGGCAGCCGATTCTTGGTGGTCAACCCATTCTAGATTTGAAGCTTTCGTGACTGCAAGGATTCATATTCTTAGGTTTTTTCGGTAAAGTCACGTAGGTGAAAAATTAAAATTAATAAAATAAAAAATATATTAAATAAAAATCACGACGTTTCGGAGGCAACACAAGCGTCCGTCTTCAGGTGGAACCGTCACAGCACGATAGCTGTATCAAGTGAGATAAATTTCAAGAAAACAGTCCTTGTATATAACATTTTTTATTTTTTTTTTATTTTACTTTTATTAATTTAAATTTTCACCTACGTGACTTTACCGAAAAAACCTAAGGAATATGGTCAACCCATTCCCACCGATCCGGATGATCTCGGGATTGTCGCCAAGAGCTGTGCGGCCTCCACAGCAGCCCCTGAGCTTGTGGGCATAAAGGACCGTCAGTGGGGACATTGGACTCCAATTCTGCTAAGCGCTGGAGCCAGTGCCGAACTAAGCCCGTGCGGGGCCTGTAGCATATGTTATGAAGGAGCCCTAACTAAAAAAAACATATTAAAACACTTAGTTTTTTAACTTGCACAGTAAATTAATTGTATTTTTTCATTTACTATACAGCCAGAGAATACGACAAATCGCTAACCTTAAACACCCAGTCGTTCGTAGTATAGTACCCTAGGAATAGAGCAAGTGCAGATTCACTGAACCGGATTTTTTTCTTACTGTGGTTTTCACACCTGATGATGATTGCTTGTGTTGCAATCGAAACGTCGTGATAATTGTATTGTTTTATTTTATTGTATTTCTCTTCTACGTGACTTTACCGAAAGAACCAAGAATATGAATCCCTGCAGTCACGAAAGCTTTAAATCGAAATTTAAACGGAATTGACAGCTTGAAAGCATTTAACGCGGGGCCCTTGAAAGTGTATCACTGTGTGTATGAGAGTGTATCACTGTGTGTATGAGAGTATATCACTGTGTGTATGAGAGTGTATCACTGTGTGTATGAGAGTGTATCACTGTGTGTATGAGAGTGTATCACTGTGTGTATGAGAGTATATCACTGTGTGTATGAGAGTATATCACTGTGTGTATGAGAGTGTATCACTGTGTGTATGAGAGTGTATCACTGTGTGTATGAGAGTATATCACTGTGTGTATGAGAGTGTATCACTGTGTGTATGAAAGTATATCACTGTGTGTATGTGAGTGTATCACTGTGTGTATGAGAGTATATCACTGTGTGTATGTGAGTGTATCACTGTGTGTATGAGAGTATATCACTGTGTGTATGTGAGTGTATCACTGTGTGTATGAGAGTGTATCACTGTGTGTATGAGAGTATATCACTGTGTATGAGAGTGTATCACTGTGTGTATGAGAGTATATCACTGTGTGTATGTGAGTGTATCACTGTGTGTATGAAAGTATATCACTGTGTGTATGTGAGTGTATCACTGTGTGTATGAGAGTATATCACTGTGTGTATGTGAGTGTATCACTGTGTGTATGAGAGTGTATCACTGTGTGTATGAGAGTATATCACTGTGTATGAGAGTGTATCACTGTGTATGAGAGTGTATCACTGTGTGTATGAGAGTATATCACTGTGTGTATGAGAGTGTATCACTGTGTGTGTGAGAGTGTATCACTGTGTGTATGTGAGTATATCACTGTGTGTATGAGAGTATATCACCGTGTGTATGAGAGTGTATCACTGTGTATGAGAGTGTATCACTGTGTGTATGAGAGTGTATCACTGTGTGTATGAGAGTGTATCACTGTGTGTATGAGAGTGTATCACTGTGTGTATGATAGTGTATCACTGTGTGTATGAGAGTGTGTCACTGTGTGTATGAGAGTGTATCACTGTGTGTGTGAGAGTGTATCACTGTGTGTATGAGAGTGTATCACTGTGTGTATGAGAGTGTATCACTGTGTGTATGAGAGTGTGTCACTGTGTGTATGAGAGTGTATCACTGTGTGTGTGAGAGTGTATCACTGTGTGTATGAGAGTATATCACTGTGTATGAGAGTGTATCACTGTGTATGAGAGTGTATCACTGTGTGTTGATGTATCACTGTGTGTATGAGAGTGTATCACTGTGTGTATGAGAGTGTATCACTGTGTGTATGAGAGTGTATCACTGTGTGTATGAGAGTATATCACTGTGTGTATGAGAGTGTATCACTGTGTATGAGAGTGTATCACTGTGTGTATGAGAGTGTATCACTGTGTGTATGAGAGTGTATCACTGTGTGTATGAGAGTGTATCACTGTGTGTATGAGAGTGTATCACTGTGTGTATGAGAGTGTATCACTGTGTGTATGAGAGTGTATCACTGTGTGTATGAGAGTGTATCACTGTGTGTATGAGAGTGTATCCCTGTGTGTATGAGAGTGTATCACTGTGTGTATGAGAGTGTATCACTGTGTGTATGAGAGTGTATCACTGTGTGTATGAGAGTGTATCGTTATGTGTGTGAGAATGAGAGTGTATCACTGTGTGTATGAGAGTGTATCACTGTGTGTATGAGAGTGTATCACTGTGTGTATGATAGTGTATCACTGTGTGTATGAGAGTGTGTCACTGTGTGTATGAGAGTGTATCACTGTGTGTGTGAGAGTGTATCACTGTGTGTATGAGAGTGTATCACTGTGGGTATGAGAGTGTATCACTGTGTGTATGAGAGTGTGTCACTGTGTGTATGAGAGTGTATCACTGTGTGTGTGAGAGTGTATCACTGTGTGTATGAGAGTATATCACTGTGTATGAGAGTGTATCACTGTGTATGAGAGTGTATCACTGTGTGTATGAGAGTGTATCACTGTGTGTTGAGAGTGTATCACTGTGTGTATGAGAGTGTATCACTGTGTGTATGAGAGTGTATCACTGTGTGTATGGAGAGTGTATCACTGTGTATGAGAGTATATCACTGTGTATGAGAGTATATCACTGTGTATGAGAGTGTATCACTGTGTATGAGAGTGTATCACTGTGTGTATGGGAGTGTATCACTGTGTGTATGAGAGTGTATCACTGTGTGTATGAGAGTGTATCACTGTGTGTATGAGAGTGTATCACTGTGTGTATGAGAGTGTATCACTGTGTGTATGAGAGTGTATCACTGTGTGTATGAGAGTGTATCACTGTGTGTATGAGAGTGTATCACTGTGTGTATGAGAGTGTATCACTGTGTGTATGAGAGTGTATCACTGTGTGTATGAGAGTGTATCACTGTGTGTATGAGAGTGTATCACTGTGTATGAGAGTGTATCGTTATGTGTGTGAGAATGAGAGTGTATCACTGTGTGTATGAGAGTGTATCACTGTGTGTATGAGAGTGTATCACTGTGTGTATGAGAGTGTATCACTGTGTGTATGAGAGTGTATCACTGTGTGTATGAGAGTGTATCACTGTGTGTATGAGAGTGTATCACTGTGTGTATGAGAGTGTGTCACTGTGTGTATGAGAGTGTATCACTGTGTGTGTGAGAGTGTATCACTGTGTGTATGAGAGTATATCACTGTGTATGAGAGTGTATCACTGTGTATGAGAGTGTATCACTGTGTGTATGAGAGTGTATCACTGTGTATGAGAGTGTATCACTGTGTGTATGAGAGTGTATCACTGTGTGTATGAGAGTGTATCACTGTGTGTATGAGAGTATATCACTGTGTATGAGAGTGTATCACTGTGTATGAGAGTGTATCACTGTGTGTATGAGAGTGTATCACTGTGTGTATGAGTGTATCACTGTGTGTATGAGAGTGTATCACTGTGTGTATGATAGTGTATCCCTGTGTGTATGAGAGTGTATCACTGTGTGTATGAGAGTGTGTCACTGTGTGTATGTGAGTGTATCACTGTGTGTATGAGAGTGTATCACTGTGTGTATGAGAGTGTATCACTGTGTGTATGAGAGTGTATCACTGTGTGTATGAGAGTGTGTCACTGTGTGTATGAGAGTATGTCACTGTGTGTATGAGAGTGTATCACTGTGTGTATGAGAGTGTATCGTTATGTGTATGAGAGTGTATCACTGTGTGTATGAGAGTGTATCACTGTGTGTATGAGAGTGTGTCACTGTGTGTATGAGAGTGTATCACTGTGTGTATGAGAGTGTATCACTGTGTGTATGAGAGTGTATCACTGTGTGTATGAGAGTGTATCACTGTGTGTATGATAGTGTATCCCTGTGTGTATGAGAGTGTATCACTGTGTGTATGAGAGTGTGTCACTGTGTGTATGAGAGTGTGTCACTGTGTGTATGAGAGTATATCACTGTGTGTATGAGAGTGTATCACTGTGTGTATGAGAGTGTATCGTTATGTGTATGAGAGTGTATCACTGTGTGTATGAGAGTGTATCACTGTGTGTATGAGAGTGTGTCACTGTGTGTATGAGAGTGTATCACTGTGTGTATGAGAGTGTATCACTGTGTGTGTGAGAGTGTATCACTGTGTGTATGAGAGTGTATCACTGTGTGTATGATAGTGTATCCCTGTGTGTATGAGAGTGTATCACTGTGTGTATGAGAGTGTATCACTGTGTGTATGAGAGTGTATCACTGTGTGTATGAGAGTGTATCACGGTGTGTATGAGAGTGTATCGTTATGTGTGTGAGAGTGTGAGTGTATCACCTTGCACGTGTTGGGAGCGGTTGTGCAACGGTCCGCCCGCTGCGCTACGAACCCAGTGACCCGAGTTCGATTCTTGTTCACGTTAAACACCCAGTGCCGATTATCTGAACCGGTCATGGGACTCCCCTAGGCCGACTCAGCCTCAAATGAGTACCTGTTGTGGTGTGTAAACATCGTCACTGGGGAGACAAAGGCGCCCTGGGCGTGGTGTTAAATGTGCCGGCCTTCACAGTTCCTCACTAACAGCACTTGCCCCAACAGTCTTTTACAGACTATACGGGGATCTTTGTCTTTGGTGCCCGCTAAAAGCACTTGTCCCAAAAATCTATTACAGACTTTACAGGGTTCTTTGTCTTTGTGTGTAAGAGTGTCTCTCTCTCTGTGTGTGAGTGCATCTGTTTTACGTGGTGTCTCCGTGTCTCTGTGCATCCTCTTGTGAGTGTGAGATAATTCATAGTTCTGCGGAGAGTGGTGGCGCAGTGGTTAGCACGCTGCCCTACGAAGCCAGCCACCTGAGTTGGATTCTCGGCCACGGCCAACATCTGTAGCAAGTCCTATTGTCGTGTCGTAGGTCTCTTCTTCCTTCTTCTCGAGGCTAGTGTGTGTGTGCGGGTGGTGTGCGGCGCACGCACACTCAGTCGGCGACGAGGTTGTCGCAGGTGTCACCGTCCTCCTTATTATCTCTCGCGTTCACACCAAAAACTCCGGCCCCCCTTCTCCCTCCCACGACCACGCTGCCGTACGACCCGGCCCAGACACGACCATGTCCGTGTTGCACCGACGGCGTCGACCGAAACAGCCAACTACTGTCCGGCCGCGCAATGATCGGGCGAAGGAGCTCTCGCTCTCCGTCTTGTCGAACCCACCAGATGTTTCCAGGGGCCTCCCCACGAGGTCTACCGTGACCCTTGTCCCAGTTCCTCCGCCCTGCCGGCACACGCACCGTGTGTATGCTCAACGGCGTGTGCGCTAAATGTCCACCTGCAGTTGCAGCTGCTGTACAGCAGTCAGTGCTGTGTCACTACATTATCAAAACTTATTCTGGGCCTTCTCCATCTCGGTGAACTTAAATGATAACTTCATGGGCTGTGTACACATCAGCACTGGGAAGACGAAGACTGCCAGACGTGGTGCTTGCCACCAGGGCCGTATTATCCAATAGGCCACAGTATCCACTGTGCCGAGGGCCTACGAAAACGAAAGAGTCTACGAAATAAATAAATAAATATGCTTGTATCATTAAAAGTGTAAACCAAGATATCTTCTTGCATAAATACATTTATATCGCAAGGATAGATTAAGTGTTTTCCAAAGAAGCATGTCAGTCGTTATTTTTTCTTCATCATACGGTGAGATAAATTAACACCGGAGATGAACTTTTTCAAAAAAAATTGTAAATTGCAAAATTATCGACAGCATCTTCAAATGGTGCTTATCGCACAATCTCGACAGAGGGCAGTGCGAGGAAAGGCGAGGCGGCGTTGCTGTGCTATACCTGAGACAAGCATGGTGACAGCGTCGGTCGTAGTAGCATGGGACAGCAGCAGTGCCAGCTTGTAAAGAGTGATCACTGAAGACCGACGAAACAGAAGTGCCTTGGGCCTACAAGCACCTTCACCCGGCCCTGCTTACCACAGGACCCGCCCCTGCGCCGCTCCGACTTTAACAGGCGCCCGCAAACATTGCTCGCACCTCATTTACTTGATACAGCTATCGTGCTGTGACGGTTCCACCTGAAGACGGAAGCTTGTGTTGCCTCCGAAACGTCGTGATTTTATTTTTTTTATTTTACTTTTATTAATTTTAATTTTTTACCTACGTGATTTTACCGAAAAAACCTAAGAATATGAATCCTTGCAGTCACGAAAGCTTCAAATCTAGAATTAATTGCTCGCTCCACCGGTGTGTGTAGAGCACGCGGCGGCGGCGGCGGTGGCGGTGATCTCTCCGTGTGTTCTTGCGTCTCCCCGTCCCCGCTTGGCAGTGCTGCTCGAGGAGGAGCAGTTCCAGTCGGCGCAGAAGGCAGAGGGCTACCTGCGGCAGATCCAGAGCCTGCAAGGTACTGGGAGGGTCCGTCACTCCATCTCCTCTGCTGCCCCCCCCCCCACCCTGGACACGACTTTCCCTTCGCCCGGAACACCTGGATTGCTCACAAGTTTGAGACGCTTGCTTTCAAGCGTGAATCTGCTGGGCGGCTTGTAGCATCGTTCACCATCATTGACGTGAACTCGGTTCAATAGGTGATCGTGAACAGCGCCCGCTCAAGCGGTCTCTGCGCGCATGCGTTGCGGTGCGCGCACGTCTGCGAAGCGGTAGTGCAAGTGGTGAGTGCACTGCCGCTACAAACCCTACGACCCGAGTTCGATTCCCGCTCAAAGCCAACACCAGTGACGATTATATCTTGAGCCTGGGCATCCCCTCGGTCGACTCAGCCTTAAATGAGTTACCCGGTGCGATGTGTACACATCGGTACTGGAGAGACAAAGGCGGCCGTACTCCTCGAGGGGCGTCACGGTGGCTAGGAGATGTTGACTACCTCGCCTGGTATACATGAGATCGTGGGTTCGATCCCAACACCGACGTCTGCTGTATGTTTGGAGTTTGCGTGTCTCTCTTTCCTCGTGGTCGCTTGAATTTTTCTCCGGGTCCTCCGGTTTTTCCCTCCACATTTAGAATCAACATTCACGCGTTCAGAGTATTTGGCTGCTAAACGTGTCCACGTGATGATAATCCCACTTCATTAAGCTAACATTTGTGATGGCCAGGTCGCTTCTAGATAGCTCAGTGGGCCTTACCTGTTCGGAAAAACAAAATATATATTTTTAAATCCTTTATATTAAGTTCGCTTGCTTGCTTGCTTGCGCGCTTACGACCGTGCAAATCTTTCGGTCGTTTTTTTACCCACTTCCCGTGATCCAATCGAGCTGACATTTTCCACACAGACTCGTTGTGCGTGACAATTAATGTTCGTGAAAATTTTTTTCCAAAATTTTACACTTTTTAGGAACAAAAAATTATATTTAATTACCAATTGATTAATGGTGCCAAGCAATCATTTGACCCATAGGTGGCAGCCATCTCTAAGCCAGAGGACGAGAGGACTCTAGCCGCCACGCATATAAAGGATTTATAGTGAAAAACTTTGTTTTTACGGGTTAATTTTTTTAAATGTTAGTTCGTGTGCGCCGTGTCGCTCTTCTTGGTACCCGCTGCTCGCCAACCGCTACACGGGGCACCTTCTTGTCTCTGTGCGCTGCGTCCCAGCCGAGCTGCGCGCCGTGGGACACGAGATGGAGGAGCTCCGCGAGCACCGCGAGGGCGCCATCTCCGCCGAGCGTGACGGCGCCGCCGCCGTCGAGGACGAGATGGCGGCGCTGAGCGCCACCGCCGAGCAGGTGTCGGCCGAGCAGGAGGCCGACATCGCCGAGCTGCAGGTACGGGGCGTGGGGGGGGGGGGGCGGCTGGGTGGGTGGGGGGCCATAGCGGGCTGGGTGGGTGGGCACAGCAGGGGAGGGGGGGGCACAACAGGGGGGGTGGGGGGCACAGCGGAGTGGGGGGGGAGTGCACGACAGGGTGGGGGGGGGGTTACAGCGGTGGGGGCCACAGTGGGGGGGGGGTGGGCACAGCAGGAGGGGGGGGACACAACAGGGGGGGGGCGGGGGCACAGCGGAGTGGGGGCCACAGCGGGGGGGAGGGGAGTGCACGACGGGGTGGGGGGGGGGTTACAGCGGTGGGGGCCACAGTGGGGGGTGGGGCCACAGCGGGGGGGGGAGGGGAGTGCACGACGGGGTGGGGGGGTTACAGCGGTGGGGGTCACAATGGGGGGGGGGGTACAGCAGGGTGGAGGGTCACAACGGGGGGGGGGGCGTGTTGGGGTGGGGGGCCACAGCGGGGGGAGGGGGGACGCGGCAGGGCATGGCCATGCCCACGCGTGCCGAGTCGCCGCTGTGGGTCTCCGCCGCAAGGATGGCAGCGGGGACTTCTCGTCCGATTTGCCGGCGTGGTTGGACCGCCTGCGCACTCGAGCTGCAAAGCTGGCACCCGAGTTCCATTCCTGTCCACGACCAACCAACATCCGTGGCCATTAACATCTCAACATGTCCTAGCACCCCCCTCCCCCCCCCCCCCCGTGTTGGCTCACGAGTGTAGGATGGTGCTGTAACCAGCCCGGAACAGGTGCTCACTAACAGCACTTGCTCAGAGGTCCAGAGGTGTTGAGCTGGCACCGCTGAGATGCTGGGTCCAGACCTTCTCTTCTCGAGCCCGACGAGTTGGCGGTCTCGGCTTGAGCATCGAGGACGTCGCAGCGTGAAAACGCGACTTCGTTAAAACAGCGTGCCCAGTAATAATTGGTTTTTTACCCTTCTATCTGGCAACAAAACTGACACCTTTTTTTACAAGGAGTCATGTTTGCATAGACCACAATACCTGCAGTCATAATGCAAAAAAAACACAACTCTGATAATGTATGCACTGTCCTTGAAGTTGATTGGTCCACACCCGAGACAGCTTTCCTTAGAGCCTAGTCTCACATGGGTTGGACCAGATGACGCCAAAAGGCGCGCAACTCAAAGACAATGCACCATCAGAGTATGAGAGCTCGGGGTAAGCATTTACACCATTGGAACCTCATTTGCCAGTAAAAATATGATAATTGTTTTTTTACCCTTCTATCTGGCAACAAAACGTGCCCAGTGTTTTCTTGGCAGCGCCTTGAGATGCGGTCACGTCAGCACGCCAGGCGCCGAAGAATCCACGTCGCACCGCAATGAACGCGCTGCAATGATGAATGCGCGTGCGCGCGTGCGTGCGTGTGTGCGCGTGCGTGCGTGCGTGTGTGCGCGTGCGTGTGTGCGTGTGTGCGCGTGCGTGCGTGCGTGTGTGCGCGTGCGTGCGTGCGTGTGTGCGCGTGCGTGCGTGCGTGTGTGCGCGTGCGTGCGTGCGTGTGTGCGCGTGCGCGCGTGCGTGTGTGCGTGTGTGCGCGTGCGTGCGCGTGCGCGCGTGCGTGCGGTGGCAGGAGGAGCTGGAGCGGGCTCGGGTGGAGCTCGAGAGAGCGTGTGGCTCCACTCGCTCGGCACCGCCGGGAGACAGCGAGGAGACCCAAGTGGACGAGCAGGTCGCTCAGCTGAGAGGTGCGTGCCCCCCCCACCACCACCACCCTCCACCACCGCTACGCTCGCACCGCAAACCATTTGCCCGCCGAGTCGACCAATCGACCCGAGGATCGGACTCGATTACCGAGTGGCCCCTCTAAGAAAGGGGCCGCCCCCCCCCCCATCATCTCGCCTCCCGAAGGTGGGCAACCCCCCCCCCCCCTACCAGCCACGCCCAGCGTGTAGCGGCTGATGATGACATAGCCAAGTGGCACACGTCGGACCGACGGTCTGAGCAAAGCCGCTCCGTTTTGAGTGCAGCCAAAGACATCGTCACTGGCTGGGCACCCCCACCCCCCCGTCGCCCCCAATTACCCCCCCCCAACTGCCCCCCCCCCCCACCAACGACCTCCCCCCTCGACCGCCCCCTCCCCCCCCACGACGACACGCAGAGTACTTTGAGCGCGCCGAGAGGGAGTGCCAGCGGCTGAAGGCGGAGTTCCAGAGAGCGCAGGACGAGAAGTCGGAGCTCAAGGGACAGCTCGCGCAGCTCAAGCTCGATCTACTCAGGTGATGCCTCCTCCTCCTCACTGCTCACCCCTCACCCATCACCCCTCGCCCATCAACCATCACTGTTTACCCATCAACCATCACTGTTTACCCATCAACCATCACTCACCCATCAACCATCAACTGCTCGCCCATCAACCATCACTGCTCACCCATCAACCATCACTGCTCACCAATCAACCATCACTTACCCATCAACGATCAGTACTCGCCCATCAACAATCACTGCTCACTCATCAACCATCACTCCTCGCTCACCGACAATCACTGCTCACCCATCAACCATCATTACTCGCCCATCAACCATCACTCACCCATCAACCATCAACTGCTCGCCCATCAACCATCACTCCTCATCCACCAACCATCACTCACCCATCAACCATCACTCACCCATCAACCATCACTTCCCCATCACTCATCCCTGCTCACCCACCAACCATCACCCCGACTGCCTGGCTCCGCGCCAACACTCGTTTCTGGGCAGCTCCTGCACTAATCGTGACGGAGCCACCCAACAATTACAGCGTGGGCCACTCCTGCAGAGACTGAGGGCGTCTCACAGTTAAACGCCTCTCCGTTTCGCTTGTGTGATGACGACTTGACACGCTTCCCTTGAGGTGGCACTTTATTGAAGACGCGTTCACTCCACGTCAGGCGGAGACCCCCACTGGAAGAGCCCCACGTCTACCGCGCATCTCCCCCTTATATACCAGCCGAGGCCACGCCCCCCTTCTCGAACCTTCTCGCTGATTCTGGACGTTCGCTCCACCAGCAGACTCTACCGGCCTCTTCCATCACCTGACCACGCTCACTTCTCAACAATTCTCGGAGCTACCAGTCCCTTCGCAATCACAGCTGACAACCCTGTCATTACCTCCCGTGGCCACTAGTGCATTCGCACTGCAGGCTGACTCCCCTGTCATTACCTCCCGTGGCCACTACTCCATTCGCACTGCAGGCTGACTCCCCTGTCATTACCTCCCGTGGCCACTACTCCATTCGCACTGCAGGCTGACTCCCCTGTCATTACCTCCCGTGGCCACTAGTGCATTCGCACTGCAGGCTGACTCCCCTGTCATTACCTCCCGTGGCCACTACTCCATTCGCACTGCAGGCTGACTCCCCTGTCATTACCTCCCGTGGCCACTACTCCATTCGCACTGCAGGCTGACCTCCCTGTCATTACCTCCCGTGGCCACTAGTGCATTCGCACTGCAGGCTGACTCCCCTGTCATTACCTCCCGTGGCCACTACTCCATTCGCACTGCAGGCTGACTCCCCTGTCATTACCTCCCGTGGCCACTAGTGCATTCGCACTGCAGGCTGACTCCCCTGCCATTACCTCCCGTGGCCACTACTCCATTCGCACTGCAGGCTGAGAACAACACTTAACCACTCGCCCACTTATTCGCCCTCTCACCCACGCACTCGCCACACTGCAGCTCACCTCACTGCCCTTTCTGAGTCTTTCCTCGCACTGCCCCACTGTGGAATCCCCTCTCCCATCATCATCATCATCGTCTCTTTCCCAAAATCTCTTAGAACCTGCTGCTGCTGCTTGTTGCTGACCGCTTGGTATTTTGTACCACATGTGTGCCCGTGCTCAGCAAGGTCTATAATAAAATAAATGGGAACATTGACCGTACGGGGACCACGTGACCCCCCCCTCCCCAACCTTCCTCCGGGCAGCACGAAGGAGCGGAACACACAGCTGTGCTCCGAGGTGGCGGAGCTGCGCGCCGACACGGAGCGCGTGGACAGCTCGGCCGGCCTCGGCGATGCCAGCGAGAGGGAGGGCGACGGCCCCGGCATGGAGCTCAGCGACAGGGACGCGGCCTCGGGCACAGAGCTCCGTGATAGGCTGCGTGCCACGCGCGATCGCACCCAGTTCATGCAGGAGGAGGTAACGCGGCGTCGGATTTGCTTCGAGCTCGGAGGGCAGAATCAGAGCCGGAATATTTCATTACGTCTACTGGAGGAAAGACAATTAGCCGTAAAGCTCTTTGTCACTGATGTCCAGCCGTCTCACAGATGTCCAGTCGGACAGAGATGCCGAGAGCTGGCACCGCTGAGACGGTGGGTAAAGCTGCCTTGTGTCGTCTGGGAGACATGGGTGAGCTGGCAGCCCCTCTCACCGTCAGCTCCACGTAGGTGCGCATAGCCACGACAACTCTATCGCTCAGAGCGACATCTTCACTCTTTCTGATGGTGGCGTCGGCTGCTGCTGCTGCTCAAAGGCCCTGCCCACTACTCGAGTAAGGCCCGGCTTTGCCAATATGTTGAGTCAAGCACAAGGCAAGAATATATTGGAGAAAGAAAAATTCAGATTTTCACAAATCTTATGGGACACTGGGACAGCCTTCCTGAACCAAACGGGGCTGTCCCATGACTCTATCCCGTCACCTCCCTCGAATGATGCTTGGATAAATTTCGATTTAAAGCTTTCGTGACTGCAGGGATTCATCTTCTTGGTTCTTTCGGTAAAATCACGTAGAATGGAAATAATAAAATAATAAACATTTAACAAAATAATTCTCACGACGTTTCGGCCACAACGCAAGTAGCCGTCCTCAGGTGAAGAACAGAATTCAGTCTGAATTCAGACTCTGTCTCCTCGACAGACCTGTTCTTCACCTGAGGACGGCTACTTGCGTTGTGGCCGAAACGTCGTGAGAATTATTTTGCTTAATTTTTATTATTTTATTATTTCCATTCTACGTGACTTTACCGAAAGAACAAGAAGATGATGCTTGGATACTTCACGTGGCATTGAAGTGCACTTAGCCTGGCTCAGTGACGAACGGCGGTTGTTGGTGTTGTTGTTGTGCGCCTTCGCTAACAGCACTTGCCCCAGCAGTCTGTTGATGCGGCAGAGTAGTGGCACAGCAGATGTCTTACAGCAAGGGGGGTCTGGGTTCGATTCCCGACTCAGGCACCGCTTTCTGCGTAGAATTTGTGTGTTCGCCCCCTGTCCTGCACGGGTTTCCCCCAGGTTCTCTCCGATTTCCCTCTCCGAAATAGCTAAACCCACACACACAGTGGAACTGGTATTGGCCAAACATCCCAATGCTGAACATTTACCTGCACCATCGCTGCACAGCAGCGACAGCAACATCGCTCCCGACAGCGAAAACTTGGCAAGACCCTCCTAAAGAAAAGTCTTGAGGCTCGGTGTGGCCTTCCTGGGTAAACAAACTAAACAATAACAAGTATAACCCGTAAAAACAAAGTTTTTCACTATAAATCCTTTATATTAAGTTCGCGTGCTTGCTTGCGTGCTTGCTTGCTTGCTTACGACCGTGCAAATCTTTCGGTCGTTTTTTAACCCACTTCCCGTGATCCAATCGAGCTAACATTTTGCACAGACTCGTTGTGCGAGACAATTAATGTTCGTGAAAAATTTTTTCTAAAATTTTACACTGTTTAGGGAAAACAAATTAAATATTTAATTACCAATTGCTTAATACTGGCAGACAATCATCTGACCCATAGGTGGCAGCCATCTCAAGCCAGAGGACGAGAGGACTCTAGCCGCCACGCATATAAAGGATTTATAGTGAAAAACTTTGTTTTTACGGGTTATACTTGTTCTTTGTGCGCACGCGTGAGCAGTACAGGGACAGCCGTGCGCGCGTTGTCGAGTGGCAGGAGCGCTGCCAATGGAGCGAGAACGACCGCGACTGGCTGGGCTCCGAGCTGCAGCGCTGCCACGAGCTGCTCACCTCGCTCGAGGGAGACGACGATTCCAGCCAGGTGGGGCCCGCTCACTCCCTCCCCCCGCTCGCTCCCTCCCCCCGCTCGCTCCCTCCCCGCTCTCGCTCCCTCCCCGCTCTCGCTCCCTCCCCGCTCTCGCTCCCTCCCGCTCTCGCTCCCTCCCCGCTCTCGCTCCCTCCCCGCTCTCGCTCCCTCCCCGCTCTCGCTCCCTCCCCGCTCTCGCTCCCCCCCCGCTCTCGCTCCCTCCCCACTCGCTCCCTCCCCGCTCTCGCTCCCTCCCCGCACTCGCTCCCTCCCCGCTCTCGCTCCCTCCCCCGCTCTCGCTCCCTCCCCGCTCTCGCTCCCTCCCCGCTCTCGCTCCCTCCCCGCTCTCGCTCCCTCCCCGCTCTCGCTCCCTCCCCGCTCTCGCTCCCTCCCCGCTCTCGCTCCCCCCCCCGCTCGCTCCCTCCCCCCCGCTCGCTCCCTCCCCGCTCCGCTCCCTCCCCGCTCTCGCTCCCTCCCCGCTCTCGCTCCCTCCCCGCTCTCGCTCCCTCCCCGCTCTCGCTCCCTCCCCGCTCACTCCCTCCCCGCTCACGTCCCTCCCCGCTCTCGCTCCCTCCCCGCTCTCGCTCCCTCCCCGCTCTCGCTCCCTCCCCGCTCTCGCTCCCTCCCCGCTCTCACTCCCTCCCCCGCTCACTCCCTCCCGCTCACCCCTCCCGCTCTCGCTCCCTCCCGCTCTCGCTCCCTCCCCGCTCTCACTCCCTCCCCGCTCACTCCCTCCCCGCTCACTCCCGCCCCGCTCTCGCTCCCTCCCCGCTCTCGCTCCCTCCCCGCTCTCACTCCCTCCCCGCTCACTCCCTCCCCGCTCACTCCCTCCCCGCTCTCACTCCCTCCCCGCTCTCACTCCCTCCCCGCTCTCACTCCCTCCCCGCTCTCACTCCCTCCCCGCTCTCACTCCCTCCCCGCTCTCCCTCCCTCCCCGCTCTCACTCCCTCCCCGCTCTCACTCCCTCCCCGCTCACTCCCTCCCCGCTCTCTTTTTTTTTTTTTTTTTTTTTTTTTTTTTTTTTTATTGTAAGAGTCACTTTATTTTTCATTAATATTAAAGAAGTGAAGTTGCCTTCACATGCTTAAGCTGTTAATTTATCCATTGCATGGGTGGACCTTATCCTTATCAATCATCCAAACATTTGCCCCCCCTGAGAGATTTTGCAGGAGCCGCCACTGCATTTGGAACGAATCAAACTATCGTCTCGATCATCTTGGTTCCGTCGGTGAAGTCACGTAGAAGACAAACCTGGTCTTCACCTGAGGACGGCTGCTTGCATTGTGGCCGAAACGTCGCGAGAATAATTTTGCTATGTTTTATTTTTAGTATTTTAAAATTGTAATTTTATTACGTTTTATTTTTAGTCTTTTAAATTTGTATTTTATTACGTTTGATTTTTATTATTTTAAAATTGTATTTTATTAGTTTTATTTTTATTATTTAAAAATTGTATTTTATTATGTTTTATTTTTAGTATTTTAAAATTGTATTTTATTATGTTTTATTTTTAGTATTTTAAATTTGTATTTTATTATGTTTTATTTTTAGTATTTTAAAATTGTAATTTATTATGTTTAATTTGTAGTATTTTAAAATAGTATTTTATTATGTTTGATTTTTATTATTTTAAATTTGTATTTTATTATGTTTTATTTTTATTATTTAAAAATTGTATTTTATTATGTTTTATTTTTATTATTTTAAAATTGTATTTTATTATGTTTTATTTTTAGTATTTTAAATTTGTATTTTATTATGTTTTATTTTTAGTATTTTAAAATTGTAATTTATTATGTTTAATTTGTAGTATTTTAAAATAGTATTTTATTATGTTTGATTTTTATTATTTTAAATTTGTATTTTATTACGTTTTATTTTTATTATTTTAAACTTGTATTTTATTATTTTAAAATTGTAATTTATTATGTTTTATTTTTATTATTTTAAAATTGTATTTTATGACGTTTAATTTTTAGTATTTTAAAATTGTATTTTATTGTTTGATTTTTATTATTTTATTATTTCCCTTCTACGTGACTTTACCGAAAGAACCAAGAAGATGAATCCCTGCAGTCACGAAAGCTTTAAATCGAAATTTATCGTCTCGATGTTGTCCGCACAGCAGTTGGAGGAACACACAGGCATTTATAAAATGGTTGATAAAACTCGATAACTCATTCAACCGTTTGTAACTTTTTGTGTAATTGTAACATGTTGCCATCGTGATATATACTGCTTTGAACACATTCCTGCGGAGGGAGCTGGTAGAAACGTTGGGTTGCTCGGTCAATGGCCCCACGACCTCCTGTGTACCAGGCGAGGTAGTCAACATCTCTCAGGGTCTGGGATTGAACCCACGACCTCCTGTAGACCAGGCGAGATAGTCAACATCTCTCAGGGTCTGGGATTGAACCCACGACCTCCTGTGTACCAGGCGAGGTAGTCAACATCTCTCAGGGTCTGGGATTGAACCCACGACCTCCTGTGTACCAGGCGAGGTAGTCAACATCTCTCAGGGTCTGGGATTGAACCCACGACCTCCTGTAGACCAGGCGAGGTAGTCAACATCTCTCAGGGTCTGGGATTGAACCCACGACCTCCTGTGTACCAGGCGAGGTAGTCAACATCTCTCAGTGTCTGGGATTGAACCCACGACCTCCTGTGTACCAGGCGAGGTAGTCAACATCTCTCAGGGTCTGGGATTGAACCCACGACCTCCTGTGTACCAGGCGAGGTAGTCAACATCTCTCAGTGTCTGAGATTGAACCCACGACCTCCTGTGTACCAGGCGAGGTAGTCAACATCCCCCGCTCTCACTCCCTCCCCGCTCTCGCTCCCTCCCCGCTCTCGCTCCCTCCCCGCTCTCGCTCCCTCCCCGCTCTCGCTCCCTCCCCGCTCTCGCTCCCTCCCCGCTCTCACTCCCTCCCCGCGTTCACCATCGGCCCGAGCCTCCTACGATGCTCCTCACCCTGCACCTACCAATCCTCGCCTCCCGTCGCCATTCTCTCACCTGGCCTCACCCACAGCCGTCAAACCCATCACCTCTGCTCACCCACGATGCTCCTCAATTTGGAAGTTTGGGTCCTCACCTCCTACGTCATCCTCACGTGGCGTCACCCACAGCCGTCAACAACCCATCACCTCTTCTCACCTGCCACTTATCACAATGCTCCTCCTCCTCAATTTGTATCTTCGGATACTCACCTCTTCACTCATCCGCCCCACCCTCACTTTCTCTCTGTTAGCCTGAATGTTGCGTTTTTATATGTAAAAAAAACAATATAAAGGTGCAGCCCTGCAATTGCTGGCTCACACCACTGCCGGTAGAAGGGCCTCCACGAGATGGAGATGTAGGGTTCCTCTGGAGGGTGTTTGGCCCTGCTGCTCCACGCTGGCAACACGGCTCAGAGGAGGTAGACGTAACCACACTTCACCCCACCACGCATGTCCCGCCAATCAACTAACTGTAGAGAACCCAGTTGCGCTGCCCTGCCAAGAGATCGAACCGGCGACCACTGGGATGCAAGTCCAGTTTGCTAGTCATTACACCAAAGCAGCATCCAGACATCGACTTTAGACACACACACATGTGTGTAAGTTTATGTGTGAGTGTGTGAGTTGATGTGTGTGTGTAACTCCATGTGTGTGTGTCTAAAGTCGATGTCTGTCTGTGTGAGTCCATATGTGTGTGTGTGTGCGTGTAAGTCGATGTGTTTCTATGTGTGTGGGTCCATGTCTGTGTGTTAGTCGCCGGGTACTTACCGCTAGTATACATTAAAGATGTTATAATGAGACGTGTATAGACACATTCTGAGGATGAGAATGACACACGTGGTAAGAATTACACCCACATGTGTATTTCCCAGAAACCGTGGATCAAACGTATCCCCATGCTGGCCATAGTGATCGCAGTTGCCGTGGCGACGGTCATCCCGAGGATCAACAAGTTGATGTCGTGAACGCTGCAATCAAAAGGATCTGGGGGGCTCCAGCATCCGACCTTCGGTATCGGCGACACACGGAAGTATAGTCCCCGTGTCGGGATTTTCTGCACGCTAGACAATTGTCGCCTCTTTCCTTCTTTCTGTGTGTGCGTGTGATGCTAACAATGTGTTTGAGAAATCATAAGACGACTTAATTGTGAATGATTGTTGCGCAATCGCTGGGCGGAGTGGAACGATCAATCTTGTTCACCCGTTGGAACGTGGTGCGGCGCACGCGGGCAAAGGCAGCGTTCCGAGAATCACGGTGTTTTGTTGATCCGAATCATTTTTAAAAAAAAAATATTAACTTCTCAATGTCAGAGCTCGGCGAGGAGCATAGCTCTGCTGGCTGCCTTACGCGAAAACAGGAAGACACGCAGGCAGACGACGGGCGGACCACGGGACGTACACGGACGGACACGCAAAACCACAGGCACACGGATGATGCGTTGGCAAAAGTGTCAGCTGCACAGATGCAGGCGACAAATGTCGAGACACGATAGATTGCTGTACAGACAGACACACGCAGAGACAAGCAGACCACTGCAGAGATAGGTAAACATTCACGCAGAGCACACACAGATTAACGGTGACGAGTAACACAGACCAGAGGGACACGGCAATAGGTGCACATGGAAATACAGACAGTCGCACGGACCATAGGCATGTAGATGAAGTGATGGACGTGAAGACAGATGGACACAGACAAGCCGACAGGCACAGAATCAGAATCTTTATTCGTGTTATACTGAAGGAATCCGATGAGCCATGAAGCTCTTTTTCACAGATGTTCCAGTATGAGCGGGTCTGCAAGTCACAACAGCAAAACAATACAATGAACGAGAGGAGTGCAAAGAGTCACACAGACAGGCACAGCATAGACAGTCACTCGTACACAGCATTACAAAGACAAAGATCCCCCGAATAGCCTTAACATACTGTTGGGGCAAGTGTTGTTAGCGAACACCTATGAAGGCCGGCACGGCACACGAGGGGGTGGGTGGACAACACCACGCCCGGCCGCCTTTGTCTCCCCAGTGGCGATGTTTACACACCGCACCAGGTACTAATTTGAGGTCCAAATAATCGTCACCGGTGTTGGTCGTGAACGGGAATCGAACTCGGGTCGCCGGGGGTTTGTAGCGCACCTTATGCGCCCACCGCTCCCCGCAACACACAGCAAGACAGACACACAATACACGAACCACATTTGCGCGAGTGGCAGACAGACGCATGCACACGCATAAAGAACCAACCACCTCCACCGCCGCCGCTTACCACTAAGTGGCGGCAACGTCAATACGATGCTTGTGTCAGACCAAGCGTACTCTGACCAGAGAAGCACAGACAACAGACCCCGACACGCAACGAAAGACAGAGGGACAGACTACTGGGCTACACAGGCAGGCAAGCAGACGGACGGACTGACACGCGCGGACTGCACCTCGGGCTGCAGCAGCCTCTTTCAGTCTGAAACAGGGTTTACTCATCTTTCCTACAAATGTCACGCAGATTTCCTACACAAGTCGCTCTGTGTGCAACGGTTTTCTTTCCAGCCTGTGCTTTCTTCACCTGCGATCGGGTGGGGGGGCCGAGGTGGGGAGCATGGTAGCGGCGGGGGGAAGGGGTGTCAGTGGCGTCGGTGCATGGCAGGCTTCCCACGGACGGTTTGCGAGTCGTTACGGTCGAGTCCGTTCACGCCACGTGGAGAACAGCGTCGAAAGGCCCTCGACACCGCGACGCGAACCCCGGTCCGCCCGGGGTTCAACTCCCGATCGGTTGGGGGGGGGGGGACACCAAGTGCCGGGCTACGAAGAGGGGGGAGAGTGAAATTGGACAGGGTGGGTTTGGGACCCGTTTCATTGCTTGCACCTTGTTCGTGCCGCACATTTGTGCTATGCCACCGAGACCCACAGACGTTGTGAGGATCTTGACCCATCGACTCGCATAGAGACCCGCGGTATGCGTCTGTGTTGAACTGATTTCGCACCGTACGTAGCCGGCCGCGTTAATCGAAGGTGCTGATTGGAGACTCGCATAGAGACTCACGGACTAGAATAGGTTCCCATAGACTAACATAGAGCCTATAGACTAACACAATGCGTACAAGCAGTGCATCTGCACCGAGACCCATGGGCCAGGTGGTACCCAAGCACCAGGCTATGAAGCACGGGGTGTGGAATGTTGGACGGGCTGCCCCAATGCATTCCATACATCGGGACCCTTGCCAGCTGTGCTATTGCTCTTGCACATGGCCTGAATTCAACAATTGTGGCTTTTTAGCCGTGCCGTTTAATTGCCAGTCCCACCACCCGGCGTGTCCACGTTCACCGCAGCGCCTCCACCTACGATTCCGTGAATGTCCATGATCTGGACTTGTGCTGCAGCTGGAGATTTGGTGCCCCGTTTTCTCTCACTCTGGCATTTCAATGAGTCCGAGTTCAGGTAATTATTATTGAGCACACGTAAAGCCATCCTAATAGCACAAGGCTACCGCGAAGGCGTTTTGTTTCACAGGCAACGGATGCAGGAGGGCGATGTTTCCATGTAATCCCAATTGAGCCAACCGCAGGTATTTTTTTTTTTATAATTTTGGCCGTGTCGCCAACGTACGATGCCCGACTCTTTTCGAATGGCATCGCGGGATCTTTAACGTCCGCTGTGAAGCAGATGGCGAGTGTTGTACGGTCAATGCACTCCGCAGTAATAAACGGGGCGGCCTGCTGGATTTGAACCGCACAATTTGCATTCATTGATAGTAAATGCATTCATCTTCATGGTTCTTTCGGTAAAGTCACGTAGAAGGGAAATAATAAAATAATAAATAATAAAACATTATAACATAATTATTGTATTATGTTTTACTTTAATAAATAATAAAATTTGCTACCTAATAAAATACTTCTTTTATTTTGTTTAATTTGATTATTTTATTATTTCCCTTCTATAAAATACTTATTTTTTATTTTTTTTTATTATTTCCCTCCTACGTGACTTTACCGAAAGAACCAAGAATATGAATCCCTGCAGTAACGAAAGCTTTAAATCGAAAAGTAAATGTATTGTTACGCACACGATTCGATGCACGTATCGCGAGTGAAATAATCAGCGTTAATCGATGCTCACTGGAGGCCCAACACCACACCACTTACTCCATTGGCCCAAACCCAACGTTTTTCCAGGTAAGCACCACCTGAGACGCAACACATGGCTCGTACCAACATCGATATATCGCCAATGAAAGGGAATTATGCAGTCACATCACTTACTAAGTATGTTGTCACATTATCCACTTTTATCCATATAGCACACAGAAACAGGTACGGCCATTCTAAATGTGTGCCACCTTTGGTGGTGCCGGGCAGAATCTGCCGTGACTCATCGCCGGTTTTACACGTTTACCGATCACCAGCTCCGATCAGTTGTGCGTACGATTCTCGTGTTTGCATTTCAATCGATGAGACTGCCAATCCCGCCAATGCCTTTTGCCACGGGTGAATGTGCCGTGAGAACTGGCGTTGTAAACACCGATTTGAAAAAAAAAGATTCAACAAGCCGCTCGGCCCGTGTCAATTTTCAACTTTAAATGCAACAACGCAAAGAAGCAACCGGGCCCAAGGATCCAATTACCCCGTTAGGCTAACGAGGGCTCACGCCTTGACACACGCCGCTGACACACGCGCGATTGTGCGCGTTGTGTTTCCGTGGATTTGACTTCGCTGTGGGGGAGGCGGAGGGGTTGTTGGTGGTGGTGGTGGTGTTCGTGGCGGGTGGAGGGCAGGACAGGTGGTGTTGCAGTATTTTTCGGTAAAGTCACGTAGGTAAAAATAAACAAGTATAACCCGTAAAAACAAAGTTTTTCACTCTAAATCCTTTATATGCGTGGCGGCTAGAGTCCTCTCGTCCTCTGGCTTGAGATGGCTGTCACCTATGGGTCAGATGATTGTCTGGCAGCATTAAACAATTGGTAATTAAATATAAAAAAAAACCCTAAACAGTGTCAAATTTTTGAATTTTTTTTCACGAAAATGCATTGTCACGCACAACGAGTCTGTGTGCAAAATGTCAGCTCGATTGGATCACGGTAAGTGGGTTAAAAAACGACCGAAAGATTTGCACGGTCCTAAGCAAGCAAGCGAACTTAATATAAAGGATTTAAAAAAGATTTAACTACTCATATTTGTACCTTTTTATTTGACAGGTACTATTCTACTTTACCGAGTGTTGACATCCCCAGCGTTTAACAGTACTGCTATTTGAATTTTTTAGTTGTCAGCCAACAATCGGCCGTAACTCCAAGCTCCGCCGCCCCCCCTCCCTGTTCCATTCACATTCAGATAAGCCCCCCCCCCCCCCCCCACTTAACTTGTATTTAAGAGCTTGCCTCTTGGATTTTTTCTCACTTGATACAGTAAATTTAGCTGTGACGGTCCCACCTGATGACGGAGACTTGTGTTGCCTCCGAAACATCGTGATTTATTATTTAATTTCTATTATAAAGTTTTTTTCCCCATTTTATTATTTATTTTTATTTTTACCTACGTGACTTTACCGAAAAAACCTAAGAGTATGAATCATTGCAGTCACGAAAGCTTCAAATCTAGAAGTTGCAGTATTTGTTTAAAAATGAGCCGCGCTTCTTTGGAGGCTCGCTCACGTTCGCCACACGCGGGGTCCGTGGGAGTGGGCGTCTTGATTTACTTTATACAAACCACGTCATTGGAAATTGCTATTACATTACATGTACAGTATTTACATCTGTGAAGTGAAGTCAACGTCCTACCCCTTTAGGGGGGCCCTGCCACAGCGGTGCAATGGTCAGGGCACCGCACTTGCGATCCAGAGAGCGCCGGTCTCAATCTCCCGGTTCGCTCTACGCCGAGAATGGCCGTGATTGTAATTTAATAATTGCAGCCAAAGTGTCCATCTGTGTGGGAATTTTCAATGCAAGACGCTCAATTCCGTTGGCCGTCCTGAGCCACTGGTGGAAATTCCACATTCGTATGGCCCGAGACCAGTTACGGGACACGTTTGAAGTATTTTAAATGTAATATTCCACCGGGCTACAAGCTGCTAATGCGTTTGCATAATAACATATATTCCTTATTTCAGTGTATGCAATCTACAACATAACTGTACTCGATGTTGGCGTTTATTTATTTGCGGAAATAAATGTAATCTGCTATGTGGTGTTTTAGTCTACAGGATCGTTCCTTTTTGAATGGGTGCAGACCGCTTTGTAATGGTTACATCGAGTGCCCGATTTTTTAACACCTGCAAAGCCTGCTGTGCACACGGTGATCCAGGCTGCGGCTGGCCTACAGAACGCATTATTGTACTCTACTCCTATGCTCCGTAGGCTATGCTCTCCACCATGGCTTAATTTCAGCTGGACCTGCCTGGGCCCGAGCTTTGTAAAATATCCCCCCCTCCCCCATCATCATCTCCTGAAGCCTGGTCCGCGGGAGTTGGAGGTCGCGGTTGGGTTTGTTTTCTCCCATGAAAAATTATTCCATGAGATAATTGAGCCATTCTCCTCGAGACACCTTAATCAACCCGCATTGACCAGCGTGGTAAAGTATGGGCAAACCTAAAAATATTCATGATATGTTTTTATCTTCTTGGTTCTTTCGGTAAAGTCACGTAGAAGGGAAGAAATAAAATAATAAAAATTAAACATAAAATAATTCTCACGACGTTTCGGCCACAACGCAAGCAGCCGTCCCTTCTACGTGACTTTACGGAAAGAACCAAGAATATGAATCCCTGTAGTCACGAAAGCTTTAAATCGAAAGATATGTTTTTAATTTGACCAGGTAACGCTCACTGAGCTATGCAGCTGTTTTTCAGAAGTGACCTGGTCATCACAAATGATAGCTCAACGCAGTAGCGTATCACGTGGACATTTCTAGCAGCAGCCAAAATACTCCAAACGCGTGATGTTGATCCTAAATGCGGACGGACAAAAAATAAAACCGGAGGACCCGGAGAAAAATCCACGCAACCACCGGCACAACACGCAAACTCCAAATTCACAGGCGCCAGGGTCGGGATCGAACCCACGCCCTTGCTTGTACACCCAGGCGAGGTAGTTAACATCCTCGCCATCTCGGCGCTCAAATAAACCTGTTCCACCCCCACCGCTGCCACAATTTCAAAGCTGTGGACAGGGCAACAGGGGGGTGTGGAGGGTGCGGGGCTGTAACATTGTGCAGTCTAAATTTTTATTTAAAGCTTTCGTGACTGCAGGGATTCATATTCTTGGTTCTTTTGGTAAAGTCACGTAGAAGGGAAATAATAAAATAATATAAATATAAATCAATAAAAATTCTCACGTTTCTAGCAATCATCATCACACCTGAATTTGTATTGTTTTATATTTATATTATTTTATTATTTCCCTTCTACGTGACTTTACCGAAAGAACCAAGAATATTGTGCAGTCTGTGCACGTCACGTGGGTCTGTAATTGTGTGCCGGCAGGAACACCGCGTGCGCTGCTGCCGTGATGCATATGCATTGCGATGCTGTCAGGCACTGCCTAGCCCACTCAATACGTCACCCACCACCACCACCACTACCACTGACTGGCCTGTCAATCAAAGGCGCGTTCCATTCACAGTTACGGGAGGGGGATTGTAAAGCAACAAGGAGCGACTTAAGCGAGGAAAGGGGGTAACGAACAACACTCGTCTCCTTAAATATTTTTTATTTTGCACTGCGCTCGGTATACATGTTACAATAGTACCTGTGGGAATTGTGCATGTTTTCAATTAATGTTAAATGCACGATTTTAATGCGTCCACGATTTCGGACTGAAATATCTTTAATTTAAATGTTCGCCTCCCCCCCTCCGTTTACTCGCGAATGGTATCGCCCAACTCGACGAACTCGTCGAGAGGTCCCATTAGAATCCATAGCGCAGATAGACAGGAATCCTTCACGCCCCCATTCGTATTGCATTGGCCGCTCGCTACCCACGTGACCGCCAGCTGGCCCAATCGGAATCGCGCTTGCGCCCATCCGCAGTGGGAAATTGAGCGGCCACAGCGGCCGAGTCGGACGGGTCCCACCGTTCTCTCCTCCCGGATTCCTCCTTCATTTCGTCATCTTAGTTCTCGTCACAGTCTCGGGACCCGCCGTCGGCTTCGCTGGCGCCCAAAGTCCGGCTCGGGATCTGCGGCGAGAATCCAGCGGGACGGGGGGTAGCGGACGGCCCCTGAAGGTTGGCCGGCACCGAGGGCCCCCATCTCGGCCAAACGCCGCAGGCAAAGCCGTAGGCTTCAGGCCTAGTCCTCGGTCTTCCATTACCCGCGGCGGGGAGGGGGGGGCAGCTGCGGAAGAAGTGAACGTTGACGATCGTCGTCTCCCCTGCGATCGAAGGGGGCGAACATGCGTAGCGGTGGTGGCGGCGGCAGAATGTGATGTGAGCGTCGGCGCGGGCTGTGAAGGAGGAGGAGGGAGGAGGAGGTAGGAGGGAGCGGCTCTGTGAGCGGCTCTGTGAGCGCGGCGGTGAATGCTGAAGGGACACCGCGGGGCTCACGGCTGGCTCCGTGGTGGCGGTGGTGTCGGTGGCGGAGACGAGGGAGACGCAGGTGAGACGCGGGGAGACGGGCACACTCGTGGAGACACTTGGCACGTCGAGGCGCTGAGAGGCGTATGACAGCCGGGAGGGGAAGACACGTGGATGCATTGATGCGTTGCGGGAGACTGGGACGTGGATACGCGTGGTGGGAACGCGTGGAGCGACAGACGCGTTGAGGAAAGGGGACGGGGGGGGGGGACACGGATACTGGAACGCGTGAAGACACGAAGACTACACGGGCAACGCTTGGAGAGAGGCGCATGTTCGGGGAGACGGATACGTGGAAGACACGGACGGTGACACGTGAAGACAGAGACGTGAAAACGTTGAGACGGAGGCAGCGATTCGTCGTCGGTACGTGTGCGTAAGACACGGACGCGGAAAAGAAGACGTGGAGATAGGCGAAGACCACGTAGATACGGTGGAGTCCGATCAACACAGACTCGCGGTGGACTCGTCGAGACGCGTTCAGGTGAAGGCTCCGTAACATGGAGACGGAGCCACGGAGATAATCGAGACCAGTGGAGCCACACGGAGACCCGGAGTCTCGTCAAGTCCGCAAACCTGCTTCGCCTACAGCGAGACCTCCACTGTTTTTGTTTTCCATTTTTCTTCTCATCCTCCTCCTCCCTGCCACTCACACCCGAAGAGACAATGCCGTCCGCCCTGGCCGTGTTTACCTGCCGCCCGGCATCGCACCCCTTCCAGGAGCGCCACGTCTACCTGGACGAGTCGGTCAAGATCGGCCGCTCGGTGGCGCGATGCCGACCGAGCCCCAACAACGCCACCTTCGACTGCAAGGTGCTGTCGCGAAACCACGCACTGCTGTGGTTCGAGAACGACAAGGTACAGTAATCGCGATGGCAGTGACGCTGATTGCCGTCGGTGCTGTCAGCCGAGACGACGGTCCCTGTGAGATGCAGGGGAACGTTAAGTGGTCTTGGGTATAAAGCTGAACCCCTGAAACCGAACCCCCAACTCTAAATCCCAGGTCCCGAAAACCATAACCTTAACTTGAAACCCCAACACTTAACGCGAAACCGCAGCCTTAAACCTCAGCCTCTTAAGCCCTAGCGCCATACCCTGGTACTAAACCTTAACACCAAACTCCAAACCACAACGCTGAACACTTCAACCCTAAACGCCAACCCTGCCCCTAAAAACCCATAAACCTCTAAACCGCACCACTAAACCCAAACTCGACTTCTGTTTCTCCAGGACTCGGTAAAATGATAACCAAAACGTACCGTCGATGATTCTGCTGCTGCTGCTGATGATGATGTTGAGACACTGACTAGACCGGGCACATTCAGGCTGAATTCGCTTGTTGGAATCGTGGTTAGAGGGACTCTTTTCCGCTCTCCCGGTTGGGGCGGGTGGGGGATAGTCGCTGATTTTGTCTGCAGCTTGGCCACCGTCTCGCGAGGTTTAGGCCCGGGATAATTACCTAATTGGCTAATTTGCTCGAGCTCCCACTTCCAAATCTGGGAGGCGTTTGTGTTGTGGCTTAGAGCCCGGTAACCCGGTTGCTTATTAACGCCTCGAGTGGAAATTTACCGCAGCTTTGGCATTTTAAGCAGCAGCAGTCCGAACTCCGCGAGCAGCAGACAGCGGCATCTCTTCAATGGGCTACGACTGCCGACGAGGCTCATGAAAATCTAGACCGGTGCAGAGTTTTGACAGTTTAAACACATTCTACGACTGGATAAGCATTGGCCTGGATGAAATTCAATAGGATCTTGCATATATCTCTTCCAACACGTCTGGCCAGCGTGGAAGAGTAGGCCAAAAACACCCTTTTGAGGGGTTCTCTAGTGCTTCCTCTTGGCAGATGCCCTTCCTCCAGCAGTGGCATGAGCGAGCTATATGCAGGACTGCGGCTTACCTTGGCTGCTCCATGCTTTGCACCTCAACTTTGACACAAACCTGACCTCACGTGGCCAGTCTTTTGCTAACTCCGTGTGGCCGTGACTCCCTTCAAGAGGTGTGCGCTTCAGGGGGATCGTCTGTCAGGCTTTGTGTTTTTGACTTCCGTGTTTATTTTGGAGAAATGTGAGGTCACTTCTTGAACTCCGCTGGGGATCGTGACCTACAGTTTGGGAGACCCCATACTGCAAAGTCGGGATTTCCCTCGTCAGCTGTCACGTTGTAAATTTGTGTAGAGTCGTACATTTAATATTCCCCGGATAAGAAGATTTTCCAGAATGTAAAACGCACAGATGTCTTCTGGAAAATGACTCTGGACGACTGCTGACATCATTTGTCCTCTTGATTGGTTGGGTATTGCGATGGATAACCATCTACTGATATACGATTCTGAACAACTAGATTAGAACACGTATTCCGAAAGACAGTGTTACAAAAACTAATTAACAACTGCACTCACCACCGATACTAGCCGTGGTCAGGAATCGATATTGGGTCACCGTGTTCATACCGTAGTGCACTAACCACCGCGCCACCGTGGCGCCCCATCAGGCTGTAAGGTACTGGTAAAGTCACGCGTGCGTGCGCACACACGCGCACATGCGGACTGTGTTTGTGAACAGGCGAGAGCAATTTAAGAAAAGAGGCTCTTCAGATATGGAGGACACCTGGGACGAAAAACAGAGAATGTGCAGTGCAGAGTACATCACGGCGGAAAACGAGTAATACTTCTCTTATCGTAAAATCAACCGACATCAGATCATTAAACAATAAACGATGGCCACTGTTTAACGATTCTCCCCACGGCAATCCGATGGATGGGCACGATTCAGGGTCACGCTTTTACGAAGAAAACGACCCTCGGCTGGCTTTGTCAATACCACGCACGGTGCCTCGGGGGAGTGTGCTCACGATACAATGGTCGCTAGGAAGAGTGTCTGTTGCACACAGGGACTGTCTGAGAGTCGTTTTATTCCTTCAACACACAGACCCAAAGGGCCAAAACGTCAAGCAGCCAGCAATAAGCAGCACTGGTATCAAGGTTGTTACAGATAAGAGTTACGAACACGTTGTTTGAATCGGAGGTGATTATTGCGAGAGCTTGGGTAAAGGAGATGACGATGGGAGAGGAAATTCCACAGTGGAGCAGTTTGAGGAAAGACGCAGAAAGATAATTGAGACCTCCGGTGTGGTGAGTGGATAGGCAGGTGAGTGGGTGGGTGAGTTCTTGTGACCTGCGGTGTGGTGAGTGGATAGGTGGGTGTCTGGGTGGGTGACTTCTTGTCACCTGCAGTGTTGGTGGTCGATCACATTGCGGTGGATGAGACTAACATCTATTCTGGTTGACCGGAACCTCAACAGGCGGATGGATCAACGCGTGAAGTCTACGGGAATGTTAACTTTGCTCGTAGCGATAGATGAGTGGTGACTGATCACCGTTGAACGAGTCACTGGAGCGATAAATCCGAGAGTGCCGTATCATCACTTACCCAGACTCCTTCACTATGAATTCTATCAAGTGCAGTGAGGTAGGAAACTGGGTGCTTCACCCAAGATATGACAACAATATAAATGAGTGTGTGTGTGCGTAAAGAGAGAGAGTGTGTGTCCGGTGGAGAGAGCGTCACTTCCTTTGAGAGTCTCAGCCGGAGAGCGAGTCTGCTCGACAGTGTTTTTGAGAGAGTTAAGTTTACCTGCCGAATACCGTAGCTGCGTGGACCCGCGGCACGAAGACCCCACCACAACTCGTGCACGACCACAACCGGCAACATCACATCGCCAAAGCCACGATCGTTTTGCCGTAGGAGAAACTTTTGGCTCGTTGGTTTTGTGCCGGCCATACCGGCAATGATGGACGGCACCTCGGCATGCTCCAGAATGCACAACGGAGCCAGGAAGTGGTTGGGGGGGGGGGGGGTGGACGGCCGTCGGTATGGTGGCAGGGGGGGTACACTTACCTTTCCAAATTTGCGCACAGCCGGCTTATTTTTAGAATTCGTGGCAGTGGGGGGGGGGGGGAGTCTGTTGACATCGCCGCCGCCTCCTCGGCGAGTAACAAATGTGGACAGTCTGCCGGTCTCAACGGTGGTGGAGGAGGGCCGGTCGCTTGGTTCCTGTAATTCATTTAAATGCCCGTGGCAAGTGCCGACGGAACAAGGCAACCGCTGTTAATTTCGTGCAACGTTTTTTTTGGACGGCGTTGGCGGCAGTGTCGGAGCCGGGAACGACGCCCTCCCCACCCTCCACACCCCCCCCCCCCCCCCCCCCCCCGTCTCACTTTGGGGAGATTGAAACGCCGTGACAAATCGTAGCGCCGCAGGGAAACGAGTGGCCCGGAGATCGGAGATGCCGAGCCCGGCTCTGCTGAGAACCTGCGGTCGAATCCTGGTCTCAGCAGCCGCCTGTGCTTGTACGGCGCTCTCGAGTGGAGCGAGTCGTTTCGGCCGGATCACCGGACTCGCATTGCGTATTCTGCCCGTCGCACGTCTGCCCTGACCAGTTAACCGTCTGCAGTGTATGCAGCGCGGTGGTGTAACTGTAATTTCGTACACAAATTCACAAATCCGACCTGTTGGCTTATCTGCCTATTCCCCAGTCCCGAGCGAGTCGGACGTGCACCGTTGGACTGTATTTGGTTTGACCGCTTGCGCACCATCGCTTTGGATTAATTTGCTGCTTTTCCTTCTCCACTCACGTTTGGTTACCACGAGTCTAAGCCGTCTTGAACCTTACCCCCAGCCCTCTTCTGCCACTGCGGTGCAACGGTCAGAAACAATTGAGAAAGGTTTCTTGAATCCCCCCCCCCTTACCGCCGCTTGTCCACTCGGTCAAGCAGTCACTTTAAGATGTTTCTTGTTCATGTTTTTGTTTTGTTGCGGTTGCACCCGAGTCAAGAGCCGCATGGCTCACAGGGTGATACCTCATAAATTAAACTGAAAACTGAAACTGAAGGACCATATGGTGGGTACTCCCACCAGTGTGGAAGAGCCGACCAAATGCCCTCTATAAAGGGGCTCTCTCCAGAGCTTCCTCTTCTGCCAGCAGTGGTGTGAGCAAGCAGTTGCAGGGCTGCACTTTTAGCGCAAGCTCTCACTTCCTTGAACGTTACACCCAGCTCTCCCCCTCCAGAGAGACTTTCGACTGCGTTGGCTGGTCACAGAATAAGGAATAAGTGACTTTGGCCGAGTGATTGTGAAGAGGCCTTTAACCTTGAGTGGTTGAGCGCTTGAGAAATTGTTTCGAGCGCAGCGCTGTTACAAACGCTGGATGGTGCGGTGGATTCTGCCACTTGGCACACGCGGGGTGGCGGGGTGGGGGAGGCGTATCCACTGTGGGTGTCGCGGTTGTCCGGACGCCCACCGTATGTTTAGATGTGACTACGAGACACCCACAGAATGTTTAGATATGGCTAAGAGACGCCCACAGAATGTTTAGATATGGCTAAGAGACACCAATAGAATGTATAGATGTAGTTTTAGAGACGCCCACAGCATGTTCAGACACGACTAAGTGATGCCCACAAAAATGTACAGAAAATTGGTGACATTTTGAGCCGCCGCTTTTCACCGATCCACAAGGCGGTGTCGGTGATGATCGCACCGATGCTGCAATGCGCACACGCGCACACGCGCACAAACACTCTGGCCCCGTACCGAGTCGGTGAACGGGGGAGGGAACGCGTCCGAGAGAACGTCCACCAAGGAGATGGAGGCATGAAACCAACTCGTGTGCGGGTGCCCAGTAGATTACTACATCACAGCATCGTGAGAGGTGGTGGCGGTGGCTTGAGGAGACCTTCAACCAGCAGTGGATTAACTACGTGTGATAAAGACGGTTATAGCACAGAACTCTAGATTTGAAGCTTTCGTGACTGCAAGGATTCATACTCTCAGGTTTTTTCGGTAAAGTCACGTAGGTGA